TAAAAGTAAAAATAAAGTGTGTCGGAACCACTAAGGCAGTAATGCTTACATGCCTCATTTGGGTCTTTTACCTTATATTGAAAAATTTGAAAATTAATTGATTCAATTCAACTTAACCAAATTTGTTTATAGAGCCTTAATCATCAATGAAGTGAAAGAAGCCTTGAAAAACAACTTGTTTTAATTGATGAAGCATTTTTAGAGAGATAAGTGGTTGCACTAGAAGAATTTCAGCTGGCCCTTTCTAATTTTCTTTTCTCATAAAAAGAAATCAGGCTTCCTAATCTCACAGCCTACATCAGCAGAGGCTCTGCTGCTTTTTTGCTGAGGCTGAATTTCTGGTGGTCACAGTTATTTCTATATGTGGTAATTTCCTTCCTCTTTCAAACACTAAAACTCAATTTGCTTAAGCATATATTGGTGCATTACTACACAGATATGGGAAATGGTTTTATTTATTGTTCCAGTAAACGTCCTTTCAATAAGGACATGCAAATACAGAAAGAGCTTGGCTCACAGAACGTTACACTGTCAGTGAGGAAGACAGTATAATTTTTGGAAGAACCTTGGAAACCTCTCATCTCTCCAACACTTCACCCTACAACTAATGGGGACGACATGTTCTAGGAAAAATAGCACAACCTTTCCCATTGTATGCACTATATAAACAGATTTATATTGCAAATCAATCCTTACTGACCATCTTAGAACAAGGCTCTTTCTGCAGCCAGCTTTCAAGGAGAAGACCATTCCTTACACATGTGAGATTGAGTAAAACAGGTTCAAAAAGTCTTGGACAGTCAAGTATGAGCAAACAGCTCCTGGAGTATACAATAGGTTAGAAACCCTAGGTCATAAACAAATAAATCAGAGGTGAACCCACTCATAGCACATATAAGAATAAAGGGTCAAATAGTTTAATGTTTCCCTGAGCTCTTAATGTGAGATGGCACTATTGCAATAGGCAGTTACCTCAGAACAATGCAAACCACAGGGGTTCACTGTGCTGCTATTGAAAGAAAACATCTTTCAGTCATGACAAAAACAGGTTTATAGCATCTCAGTAGCTAAAAAAGTGTGGTGAGGCAGTACAGAATCCTCAGAACCATACAGCTCAATGGATATTAAACTTTATCAAATAATTCCAAAAACCCCTTGGTTTTAATTAGAAGTGTTAGAGCAGCAATACTATAGACAGATCTCCATCAATATAATAAAGTAATTCCAGCTGCCCTGAAGAATGTAAAGTACTCTACTGTTCCTTCCAGCAAGGGAAGCATCTAGATCTCAAACTCGCATTACATATTGAACACAGCTCTAAGTAACACAATATTAGACTAGCAGTTTTTTAGTTAAAAGCATGTCTGAGGACAAAGTAACAGCAGCATTCCATGATGGATGACAAATCCATAGCATACCAAGAAACCCATGCCCAGCAGTGGCACACCGTGAATATATTCCCTTGCTACCGCCACTGCCAGCAACACAGCTCCATTGGTACTATGCAAGGTTTTATGTAAACCAAATGCAGAGACAGCTGCTCTGAAATCTTAGAGATCTCATGTATATTAACAATTCTAGTGCTACTAGCATGACTTATGCTTCCACAACTTTGGAAAGGCATCGGTGTCCAAGAGATAAGAAGAAGCCCCAGGGAGTGCAGACAAAGTCAGAGAGACTCTGCACATAGCAATTGGCCTCATGTCATTGCAACTGCTCCCACTCAAGGCCCAAAAGGTCAAAAGCTGATTAGAACTGTTAAGCACCTGCACTGGATTACCAGTTCAGGACAGACAAGATTGAATCTCTCAGCTCTGGCTGGCACAACTGTTAACAACTAATCTCGTCCTTAGAGAGCAGCTCTGCAGCAAACAGGATTGCTGCTCAGCTCTGTTTTCCCACTAAAGCACCAGGCTCGCCTATCTGAAATGACAGCTGCTGTTTCATATACCACCTCTATAACTGTGACTCAAGTCTCATTGCAGAATGTCAACATTTGTGTTCAACAAATATGATTCACCATGTTTTGAAAGTAACAGAAATGGAATGATAGAGGCAGCATATGATTCACTGCAGCCTTGAAACTACACAGAGCTATGTTGAATTAGAATTATGCTACCAATATTTTTTATCTCTGAAATATTTGCAACAGTTATTATGAATTGAGAAGACTGTAAAATAAACACTTAAAACCAGAAATTGATCAATATAGTTTGACAAATCTTGACACAAACACAGAGAAAATTATCTATGATTTTTTTCCTCCCATTTCTAGTTACACTTTCACTGAAGCACTCTTGCTTTCATTCTTCCTTTAGGTTTTCTTTAGGTATGTCTTCACCCAGTCTCCTATTGCTGATCTCTCTCATTTCATTATCTAGACTTAAATGATGCTTTTATATTTTTCCATGTTCATTTTAAATTGCACCCTTTGACTGTAGGTATGGTGCCCCTAAGCGACATTTTAAAAATAATTTTTAAAATAATTGATACTTCATTTTTGCATATCTTTGCTTGTTATTAGCAATTCATACATTATGTATATAATGGCACTGGAGGCAAAGATAAATTAAAGTTTCTGTGGGGCAGGCATCATGCAGAGATTTAGCAAGGGGATTTTTTCTTTCAAAGCCACAAAAAACATAAGCTAGATAAAAGAGAAAAATATTTTTTTAATGCCCTTTGAGTAAAAATGTGAATTCAAAATTAGCATATTAACCATGATTCAGCAAATGAAGATGGGAATAATTTAAGCACATGTCTATATGTTTTATCAATTCAGAGTCCACATCTTGTCTGAATTCATGTGAAATCTCAGTTTTGGCCATAAAATTCTGCTTCCCCTCCCAGAGGAGCTTACATTTGTGAGTAATGCCACACCTGAGAAACACATCACAGCTCTGAGCCCAGACTTCTCCAGTTCATTTGTAATAAATCTAAGATTGGTATTTGCCAAACAGTTTCCCAGTTGACCCTGAAGTTCTGTAGCTCTTATCCTTACTTTTTTTTAACCCTCTTACCCTTTTCAACATTTTCTCCTCTAGCGTAAGGCCATTCAGAAAGATGACCCACAACCCGGCGTTATATAAGTGAGATATTACTAAAAGAAGCAAGGTTTAGTTTGAAGTACCCTGTAACACCCAGCTAAAGTACAGAGTTGTAAATTTAGTATGTAATATAGTTACAATCTGTAAACCTGCTCTGCAAACTGGTCTCACTGTACAGCCACTTTGCACACAAAGTGCTATTACTACCACTAGATGTCAGTTTTACACACTTTAAAATGGCCAATTTCCTTAAAAATAGTATTTCGCTGTTCACAACAGAAATAGTTCTCAATTATGTCATTCTTTCTGAACTGACCTTTAATTTTAAGTATCTTACTTTTTATTTACCTTCATTCCACTTCTCCCCCAGCCCCTTGGGGCACAGCTCTCCTTTATTAAAGAAAAAAAAAATCCACTATACATTTATTCCATTATTTTCTCAGTCTGAGACACTGACAGTTTTTGCCAGATATCACTGACAAAAATCTGTATCTCAGGTTGTGTCTCTAGAGGCCAGCACTGAAATCTTACTTTTATTTCCCAGAGATATTTTTATATTCCATAAGGACACTTTTACTAAGAGATGCCAAAGTAATTACAAATAGGCTGCCATGCCAGTTAATAAGGGGTATCACTGATATGACATATTGCAGTTTTATGATTTTTCAGACTTTTACTTATACTGACCACCTAAATGTAGATAGTTTTATTGATACTTCTAATCTCTGCCTCTCAAAAGTCAAAAATGTAGCCATACATTCCTCCTAATCTCATACAAAGGCTCTTTACGGGAGTTTTTCTTAAGAACAGTTTTCATTAACTAGTCTTAACATAAACTTGGTCATACTGAACACAGAACTTCTATATTATGCATTTATCACAACAAAATGGAATTGCTTTTTGTCAAATAAGTCTGTTTTTATTCCCTCCCCACAAAGAAAAATCACTGAAGAAAATTAGGAGGAAGTCAAATTCATTGTATATTATTACATTCAAATATATGTACACACGCACAAAAACCAACAAACATCTCCAGAGCTGCCCATGCTCAGAACTGGAAATGTTACAGAATGCAGCTCTGAATTTATAGAAGTTAATGACAAGACTGTCACCTTACTTGAAGCTGTACTGCCCAGACAGTGACAGTTCAGCTAGCAACACACTATGTTTGTTTATCATGTCAAAGGAATGATAAACATTCCCTCACCCTCATTCACATCAAAATCTGACATTTTCCAGCTCCTACTGATCCTTCACAGCTCTCCTGGATTGTTCAAGGCATTCTTTGCACCTGCAGCCGTAACCATCTTATAGAAGTGCTTGCCCACCAGAAAGGACTGGAAAGTAAGGAAGGGGAAAAATGTACTTCAAAGAACTTCAAAACAGAGTTGGAAACACTGTATCATGCAATCAACTCTATCAAAAACTTCCTCCAAAGACATCTGAAAACTTTTTTTAGGCAGCAATTCCATTGAAATCATCCCTGTGCACAATCTCAGTAACCGTGAAAGAGTGGCAAAACAACTCCAAGGCAAACACAGAATCCAAAACACATCAAGTCACATGACTGCTGACAGCAATGTTCCTGACTTGGGAGCCTTCCTTAGAGAAGTGCTCTGCCTGGGGCAGATGAGGATGTCCTCTATGCTACACGTAGTGTTGCAGCATTTTACCCCATTCCCTTTGCCTTCCTACCACACACTATCCCTTACCCACCTACCAGGCATCCCCAGGGCTGCAAAATGCCCTAAATCCCACCCCGCCGAGGCACATGAGCCACCCTCACCCACACTGCTCCCTTGCCAGCACATGCACAGAAGCAGAGCACCTCAGACACGCCAGACCCTCTGCATGTACTGCACAGTCCCTGGGCGTGAGCCAGTCTGAAGGTCTCCAGACGAAAATTCACAAAACCCGCTTGTGTGTCTGCAGCCCCAGGCTGTACAGATCGTACCTTCTCTTCGCTTTTGATGCAAGGCATCTCCTTTGTCAGCACCCATGGTGGCAATCAGCTACAGCAGGATAGGCTCTGGTCCAAGACATGCTTCTGCAAGCATTTCTCTTGCTCCAGGATGCTATCTGCAGAACAAAGCTGGTTGGCTTGATCTGCAAGCTAGGAATTTTGGTTACTCTGAGCTACTGAACTACGTAAGTGAGTTAATGAGAAAGTTGATGCTGGGTGAATGAAGCAGCCAGTAGAAATGAAGAAATCAACACCAGGCTAGAAGAGAACAGATTTTTTTTTTAATATGCTTTCTAAATTGTGCTCTAATATAAAATTGTAAACATAAAAAACAAAACAAACAAAACAACAAACCAAACACACAAAAAAAAACCAACAAAAAACTAAACAATCTGTCCTTTTATTTCCTTATTGTGTATTTGGCAAGTCAAATCCCTCCAGGAAAGAAACTGCTTTAACTTCTTCTTTATCACACATATTCACTTGCAACTTATTCCATTCATGCCAATATGAATCACTAACAATGTATATCATAAGCAACAACAGAAGCAATGGTTAATTAAAATCTGGAAGCATTAGTCATCTTCTTACAGAAGCTACCATGTAATTTCAGAAGTGTTGAGTTTGCAAGATATTTTTGTATTCATTACTAGGACCAGAATTCTGCTGCTAAAGAACAGCAGCAGCTCTTAGTTTCAATCAATAGTACATTTTATTGAAGAAGGGAAAAAAAAAAATCTTTCAGCTGGACCCATAGGTATCAATCATCTCAAACTTCAGTGAGACACATGGCTTGATCCCCTCATTGACAATTGTCCCAGGGGAGGAGAAATAGGTTAAAACTCTCTCAATAAAACATTCCCCAATAAAGGCATTGCTTAGATCCATGGCTTCCTTCTCTACCAAGCTCCACAGCAAGTTTAAAAAGTGATCTGAGCACACACACAGAACTTGCCTGTGTGGAAAGGCAGCTGTGCTTAGGCAGCACATTCCAGCAAACAGCATCTTGGAAGGACTGAAAGTTACACAAGATATTTCTCTGATATCACCAAGCCATTATACCCCAGCAATCTTTACACACACAAGTAAATGTTTAAATACTCTGTTTTGCAAAGAAAAGGGAGTGAACAAGAATCAAACCCTTGCAACAAAAAGCATAGCTGCCTCCTTCTCCTCTTCTTAGTTAAAAAGTGCAAGAGGAGGTGAGGAAATGGCCCCACTCCTGCTGGTCATTGTTATGCAGAGGCAGTTTGGTGAGTCGCCACTACAGCTGATGAAGCCAAAGGACCCCGGATGGGCCTTATGGCAATCACACAGCTCAATACAGTTTTAAATTTCCTCAGGAATTTGGTGATTTCTAGATCTGCTGGATCATCTGCTACTTACCACACCCACTACATGTAGATATGCATCTGCTTTTTGTTACACTATAATTACAGGCTAAGTATTAAATGTAGATGCTTTTTTACTGTCTGAAATGGCATATTTTCACAACAAATATGTCAAAGAAATGCAGAGATTCACTGGAATTTAAATATAGACCGAGGAAATATGTTTTCTCTGAGAATGGATGCTCTCCACTTGGTCTTCTCTCGTACACTTATTAGTGTCTCCATTTGTATGCCTGATACAAACCCATCTATCATGCTGATGAGATGGTGAGAGAAAAGGCAAAATAGTTTGGTTTAGGGCTGATGGCTAGGACATTATTCAGAAAAAAAACAGATAGATCTGGGCAAATATCAGTCATACCACAGTGAACTCAATATCCCTGAGTTCACTGGAAAGTTTATATTTCAGAGATTTCACATCCACTATAGGTATGCCTAGGAAGTGTCAGGAAATACACAAATTAATTTGCTCTTCCCAACACAAAAATAGATAAGAGGGATAGAATTGCATCTACTAAATGGACATGTTTTCAGCCTGACCTACACTCTGCTGAAATCTATGCTGAAAAAGGGGGCATTTTAGCACTAGAATGTTTCTGGACTGAAAACATGCAATCCCATGCTTGGTCTTAGTACAATCCAGAGACTTTACTGGAAATTTTGCACTAAAGAAAAACCATAGATAAAAAAAGGTTTTATTTAGAATAATTTAAAACTCTGACTTGAGACGTTTGCCTGCAAGCTGCTCACTAGTTTGAACAGCAAAATACTGCATGAACTCCTTGTTCACACTGAGCTGAAAGGTATAGAGAGCTACACAAACTATTGAAATCATTTGGTGAAACTTTGCAGTACCTGCATTCGCTTGTTCAGCACTAGAAGGGGCACTTTATGTGCCAAGGTAGCACACAAAAAATTCTATTTCTTTTTCATCACCAGCTTTTCATGGGTTGAGAAGTCATGCAGAACTTTAGAACAAGAACAGAACAAACATGAGGTTAATCATATCCCAGCCACTGCTCAAGTATCTTCCACTCAGCCATTGTTATCCTAATCTTCTGATTTGAGTGAAAAAAATGCAAAGAAATTCTGTAGTGAAGAGACCATGTTAAATGGCTTGCTTATCACTTCTTGAATGATTCATTAACCAGCATAATTTAATCTGCCACATGCCCAGTAAAATTCCAGTTTAGCAATGTAATGTGTGCTACCAGCTTTCTAGAAATATTACAACAGGCTAATAACAAAAGGTTAAGCATTAACCAAGATGAGACAAGCATGTAGCTACAAAACTAAAAACTGTTTTTTCAGGTCTTTCCTTCATTCACTTTTTAAAATATCATGTATTTCACTTCCTGAATTGCTCTTGAGTAAAATGATCCTCATTTAAACTATAAAACTTGGTTTTTTTTCAGAATGCAGCAGATCATGAGCTGAGCAGATTCAAAACAATGCACCAGCCGTAAGTGTCTCATCATTTTCATTTCCCCACTTAATGACAAATACACTTCTGCTCTGCCCATTGCTCTGTTAATAAATCAGGAAAAACGAGAATTGAAACCTCCTGCTCACGTGAACTTTAACATTAATTGACGGGGGTGGGACTTCCTCAGGATTAGGATCCTGGAATGTTTACAAGAGCTGTGGTTCAGATCAGCTGACAGGAAAGTCTTCTGCAACAGATGCTGGCTGTTATTATTCCTCAGAACAGAAAGGGACAACCAACCATAATATTAGTAAAAGTTCAACTTATTCCAGAACACAAGGCTCTTTGCTTGTATTGTAATCGAGATCAAATTTTCAGAATTGGTTCATCTGCTACTTAGGGATTCATTTAAGTGATCAGTTTAACAAAGTACTATGTTGAAGTAATTTAAATAGAATTTAAATATAGTACTGAATAAGCAAATATAAATATAACAGTTGAGAAATGCCTTCATATGACTTGTGAAAAATCAAGTTAATTTCAAAACATATCCTTAATGTTCAAATATATTATTTCTCTTGTAGTACTACACAGAAATAATATTAGAGAATTTTCTCTATTAGCCAATGAAACCAAGAAGACTTCAGTTTAATATAGTTTGTTGCTGTTCTTCACCTAATGGTTGTTATTATTCCATGTAGCTTTCCCCTCCCTAACAAGCTGGGAAAACATTGATCTATTTAAAAATTGTTTTCTGAATTCTACTCTATTGGTATGAAACTGGATAAACTTGAAGGCATTTTTACCCAAAAAATTCCTATTCATAAGAATTCATTGAGAGCATAGGTAAATATTCTTCCGGGTTTAATTTAAGAATTGACTAGATGACTTAAAAAAATCAAAGTATTTTCTTGCAAAGCACTTGTCTAATGGGACATCATTTTGAGAGAAAATGTAGAGAGAATTAATATTAACTCAACCAAGGATACATTTTCTGTTTCTGACATACATAAATCTGATCTACTGCAATACTGGGGCAAACAATTATATTGAACTGAAGCCAAGAGTTGAACTTCTGCTGATGTGAGCATTCAAGCTTTGAATCCTCAAATTGTATATTGGAATAACAAAAGTGTTTTGCCATATGAATTCTGTGTCCAGAGCATTAAAATTCCTTAAATTCACAATGTGGATGTCATATCCTTAGTACCAACTTCCAGTCTAAAATCTGTCACTCGTACGTCTTACTACTTGCTATTGCAAAAGCTGCCTGAGTTTCTAGCACTCACAGTTTAACTGGAGACAGTCTACATTGATCCATCCACCTCAGACCGACCGACCTGTTCAAGTATGTTCATGCAGCAGGTTATTTATTCCCCATGGACCAAAACACTAAGCATAGATAAACAGAAAATTAATAATTGCCAGACAAGATGAAATCCTGTGTTTCTTCTGGCAGTGGCCAGGCCTTCAGGTCTCAGCCTTTATGAAAGTTTCTTCATGAGGCTTCATTAGGCAGGAGTTCTCTGACCACCAGCAAAAGCTCTTTGCCTTTCCCATTCTAGTTCAACACTTGGTATTCTTGTTTTCCACAAGATTTTGCATCTATAAGGCTGTAAGTGCTCTTTGAGCTGGAACACATGGTTATTCCCCATTCTGGGACGTCTCATGACAGGGATACCAGGAGCAATCTGCAGCCATGCTTGGGTGTGCTTCCCTGCCCTCTGCACCAAACACCTCCACTAACTTAATGTAAGGCCCTTTTCCCTCTAGGCAGTACCATGCTTGTTCTCTAAGGGGAAAAATTATCTGAGCAAAAAAGACAAAATGATTTATCTGGAGAGTTTATCATAGTAATTCTGTTTTGATACCCTTAAGTAAACTTTTTTTGCACTACACTTCCCATGAAATCTCTTACTATATACTGTTGGGTTTACTACGTCAGTGTTGGCTTGACAGCCTAATGACAGCTCCATATGAACTGGTTCCCACCCACACTTAAAGCCACAGGTCTATCTACATTGTTTCTGAGCAACTACTGGATATTAAGGTGAAATTACCAAGGTGCAGTCTCTACTAGTGTCTTGCCCTACCTCTGAAAACAGTAATGAAAGATTTTCTTCCCCACGTGCTAAACAATACCGTAAGAGAGGCTGCTTTAAAACACAGGACAGCAGAGTATTGAGTCACTAGTCCAAATCCTCTCTGGAGCTGCCAGGGTTGTGCAACAAACTGCTCTCTCAGGTTTACACATTTTCAGCAATCCCAACAGCATGTTGAAATCTCAAGCTTTGCTTAAAGTCTTTTCTCCTGCACAAGCCCCATTGTATTTTTCACTCCACACAGCAGACTTAGTTGATAAACTCTCACCCTGGAAGCCTGAGATCACCCAAAACACAGAACTAGTTCACTCTCAAGAATGCCAGTACAACTGCACTTCCCAGGTACTTCCCATGAGAGCAGTTTCAAACATCCCACTGATAAGAGTCACGGGCTCATTTAGTCAATGCTGACATTTATGTCAGGGAGAACACTATATAGAAGAACACCATGCACCTACATGCACCTACAGCACCTACATTCAGGAGCACTTTTTAAGAGAGTGTAGGTACCATAATCAACCTCATACCACAGATAGATGAGAATACTGGAACTTAAGGCCTTTCCAAACATGCTGTCTTGCAGGCAAATAAGATCAGTATTTACAACTGTATTCAGCAAAACCCAGCATACAGGCTGTAACTCAATTACAAACATCCAAAATTTGGAAGCATATCTCAAGAAAAAAATTTAATTACAGCTCCATCGCCTCAGTATAGATATTCCAAGACTTACAGTATCAGATGTTTATGCAGAAGTTTTTTCATAATGCTTTCAGCTTACCTAAGTTTCATTTTCCTAGGGACCATGAAATGAAAAGGCTGCTTTTATAGCTAATGTGATTAAAAATTCATCCCAGATCAAACTCAGAATAAATTTTGCTCTCAGCTCAGGAGCTCTAGGGACTGCTTTACAAAATCAGGACTGAAATCTTTCATCACAAAATCAGTACTTTCTATCACATGCAAATTCAGAAGCCTGTTCTGGCTGTGACAGATTGCCAAATAAATGAGAAATCCTCACCTGCAAATCAGGTTTGAGGTGTCAAGTCTTGAGTTTACCATTTGTATATAGCAACACGCAGTTATGGAAGATCCTGGGTAATAAGTGAGCTAAGTTGCAGAACACATAATTAAAAGTTCTGTTTAATTATGGTGTGGGCAGCATTTGATCTCCTTTCCTTGAAATAAACATCTATCAATTTTCACTTCTGTGAAATTTATTACTTTATTCCACCAGGATTTTATAGCATATGCAGAAAAATTAGCTATGCTTAAATCAAGTAAGTATTCTGTAATTAAGAGTGATTTCTAGGTTAGTTTCTAACATCTTTTTTACTTGATTTGATTATAATTTTAAGAACTCCAAACTGAAATTTTCCATCCTTGCCTTCCAAGAATAGGCAATGTCTTTTCCTGAATCATATTAATAAATTCTCAGTTGTAAGAGCTGTTAATACCAGGAAAGTATGTTTCTCATGCTGATATGTTCTACTTGAGATGTCTGAACTTGCATAGTTCAAACTGCAAGAACTTGAAGTGTTACACATTAACACCTTTTTTGTTCTCTACTCACTTTTTTTCTTTTATTTCTTTATTAGGAAGGTAAACAACTTAATGTGGAAAATTCACTTTTCAGCTTTTACACAGACATCAAAACTTACATACACTTAACCAAAGACAATTCCTAACAAAAATATTAATAAAATTAATGAGATTTTGTGGTTTAAGCTACGACAGATTTCTATGACAACTAAGGCGTTTCCCTAAAAAAATAATAATGACAAAGAGCTTTTGCTGTCTCTTTACGCAAGATCCAGCAGCACAGAAATCTTGTCTTGTTCAGACCATCTGCATTTGGATTTTCCCCACTCCATAGAAAGCTTTGAGCTATAAAACAAAAGCAGTAGATGACTTCCAATGCCTGGTAAGCAAAATTTTCCCATATCCTTGGGACATACTATAATGTTTTCTTATTTCCCTATATCCTTTAAATACCAGTCCTGACTCAGGCTGAAAGTTTTATATCTAAATACGTAGATTTGGTTCCTTGCTTTCTTTAGGTTTTGTTGTAGCTTAAATGCCACTAAAAATCTCCACTTATTCCCAAAACTCCAAAAGGCCAGGGTTGGAAATTCAAAAAATACCTCTTCATACAGCAAGACTTCCCAATAAAAAATGATTCCTAAAAGAGACCAGAACGGGTTTCCAGTACATAACTCTAGTGTCACAGAAACATTCTATAGGACATTATAAATATTCCAAAGGACATTATAAATATTCCAAAGGAAAAAGAAAGTATCTGAATTTTACCTCAAATCCCATTTTTATGCATTAGCTAGTAATTTTTAGCATATAAAGTCTATGAGAGAAGTCTTCCCAGTCATCAAATACTTATAGGCATCCACTGCCTGAAAATTAGAATGAATTCTGGATATTCTCCTGTTCACAGGAGGATCTAGGAAATTTTTGTTCAGCAAAACAATGCCAAATCCTGCTCTATTTTACAGCAGCAGTAAATATTACACTTCTGCAGCAGAAAGGAGGCAACAGACACTTGCACTGCAGCAGTGCCTCTTCCATCCTGCCATGAGCAGTGGAGACTTTTGCAATAACAGCAGTCACTCAGGGATAAGGACAGGCCACCTCACAACTAAGGAGCATAAAGATGTAGCTAGAAACCACATTTGGCAGAGGTTATAGAGAGAAAACAGGTATCTGTATTCACTGGAGAATGTAAATCAGTCTTTGAAAAATATTCTAGAAATAGTAGCAAAACAATTCTCTCAAAAGTTTAAAATATACAAAAATGCACAAAATATACAAGTCCCGACATGCAGATATTTGCTGGGGTCTTCCTGCTTTTCAAACAGCAGAGGAGGCAGTTCATTTGTTACTGTGCTACAGTACTGCAGGTGTGGTTAAAGTGGGAACTAACTTGGCAGTATTTAATTCCTGTGGTTCTGTGTACTATATTCCTGCCCCTGGGCTGAGCAGAAAAAATACATAACAAAAGGTTTTCTTTATGTGCATACCACTGTTAGACTGAATTATCACTATTGTAATTTTGAGGAAGGCCTCAGGGTTAAGATATATTGTCAGTATTGGAGGGATTTTTCCCATGTTTCTGAAAATTGCATCGGGAAACTTCAATGAAATTAATTAATTTTGTCCCTTCTTACTGAAAATAATCCCATTCTCAAACATATTAAATACCAGTTGATATTATCTGGAGGTCACCAAAGAACTGATAAAGTATGAAGATGTCAGAGAAAATCACAAATTATCTTCCCAACACCCTTGATGCCATGATGGAAACCAGTTTCAAGCTGTCTGAATATCATTTTGTCCTCCTTTTCCCAGTTAGGAAAGCACAGAGGCACAGATGCTGCAGCTTCAGCTGGGCTATGTACATAATGTATTATATATCACATATAAATCAGTACAAGTCTAGAAGTGTCTCCAGAAACTCCAGAGCCTCCTCTTCTTCAGCCCCATGATTTTCCATTACATATTAACATTAATGTTCATTAATGTTCAGGACAGTTTATGAATTAGAAAATTATAGAATTAGTGAAACTTACCCAATCACTTTTCATGCTACCCTTCCATGCTCAGCCATCTATGGAATGTCATGAGAGGGGGCAGGGGTAACAGTTATAAGTGCTTCTTTAATATTGAAACTATGCTCATTTTTAGGGACTTTCAGTAAGATAGATCAGAGATACTTTTTAATAATAGTTAGACAGACTAGAGATCTATCAACCCTCTTTGAAGAGCAAGAGTGGATCAGCCTGCTGGTCCAGGGCAGGGACTGTAACATTCAGCTTCATGTCACTAAGTTTTTGTGAAAGTAGAAATCTTTCCCTTTTTCAGTACTCTAAATAGCCTAAATAGCAATGGAATATTAGTCACATAGCAATTCAGTTTGGGTACCAAAAATCAAAGAAACGGGTCATCTGTTTAGGACATGTAAAAGAGCTGCTTAGGCTTCTACACAAAGCCAGAAGCAAAGACCAGAAATGAAAGCTGTTGTCCAAATCACAAACCACTTCTTCACCAACATATTTTTGGACAGGATCCTTTTCCTCCACCCTGTCAGTTGATGTGCTTTCCTTTTCTCTATTACATGTCTGTACTCAGACCACAGAGAAGAGGTTGTAGTTTCAATTCACTGGTCTTTCTTCCCTTTTAGAGAATCATATCTGTTAGTCAGAAAGTGCTGCACCTGGGACTCAAAACCAAAGAAAATAACTTTTGGCTCATTCAAGCAATGAAGTGTGAAGGGCTATTAATTTATAATCTCATTTTAGCAGAATTCCACATGTACCCCAGCTCAAGTACACATTGGGCAGAAAACAGAACAGATGTCTGGACTCATTCTGTTCCAATGGCCCAAACTAGAGTCCTCTCAGTTTTTGGAAGAAATATATCACTTCATTTACAGTGTGTTATCAACATATATTTATGCTCTTTGTAGGAGGGACATTTCATTCTTCTTGCTTTAGACTAGCTTCTGTAAAACAAGTGAAAACACAACCTCTTTTGCTTTTGTATAAGGATGTGGAGAGCTTCATTCATTAGTTCATGTGTTTATGCTGTGATGTCACCTGGTCTATTCACTATTTCTAAGATAGTGGAAGAAAGTATAAAACCAAATCATGTAAGCTTTATTCAGTTCAGAAATGAGAAAAGAACAGGTTGAGATGATACTAAACAATGAGAACTGCAGTACTTAAAAATGAGGCCATCAAGACAAGCAAAGTAGAGAAGTTACAAGACGAGCTGCAAGAAGTTAAGGGACCATAGCAGGAGGGTCAGATGCAGCTGCAAGCCAGACAGTTGGGGCTGCAGCAACCAGACATTTGAAACAGCTTCAGAGGAGGCTTCTCAGTGCAGCTGGGCTGGAAAACATGAAGTGCACTTGGTAAGAATGCCACAGCAGCCCCTTGTGCAACAGAATTCAAGACCTGAAACACAACTGTCTGAAACCCATAGAATTAACTTTGCCAAAAATATATATTTCAAAGATTTGCCCCCACAAAAAAATGTAGAAATTATGTTCAGCATGCAAATAATAACCTTTTTACTAGCACCTTTCTTATAAAGTCCCTTTCCAAGAGCAAGCAATGGGAGGAATGTAGGATCACCTTAGTAACATCACAGACACTGACACGGCAGCACAGTGCATAGCTGCATGCAGATGTACTGACACTCATCACCACATGACTCGAGGTATCGGAGAGCCTCTCTGGATAAATCACCTGTAACCACCTAAATACAGACAGTATCATAATATACATATTTATCAAATTATGAGTCACGAGCATCTTCATGCTGGCTTTCTCATTTTCAGTGCTTCAGAGCACCTGTATGCTTGCAGAGAGTGCAGTATAGGGACTGAGGAGATACCATCAAGCACAGGAGATGCTCAGCTGCCAGAAGCAGGAACACTGCTCTAATGGATGGTGCACAGACCAGAAATGTCTTGTTTCAAGTTGTAGCTCTGCTACATCTTGCTCCAGAGACTGCTCAGCTGTCACCAGCTCCAGCACCATGCTCCCTCCAAATACAGTATAAACACACTTTGACTTTACAGTCTTGGTGTTTGTAATTCTTAGAAATAAAATTCAGGTATGCTCTGAATTCTTGAAGAGGAGAACTATTTTCAGGGCAGACTATGGCCAGTCTTTTGCCACAGTTAACAGCAGCTTTCCAGCAGGATGCTACGGTTCAGGACTACTCAGACCACATCTTGCAGGTTATTTTATCAAGCTCTTGGAGAACAGAGGGATTAAAGGAAATTCTCCATAGCAGGGAGGCAGGTCAGTCTCCCTGTCCAAATCTGTTTTGGTCTGGTCTGAAACTGCTACTGAAAATTAAAATGGAACAGTATTACCTAATCTGTCTTTAAAAATATCTTATTTCATTCTTCCACAAGCCATCCCTGATTTTTCAAACCCTGACAATCTCTTTCTGTTTCTAATAGCCAAGAACTCTGGGAAGAAAAACAAAAGGAGATTTTATGTATTTAACAGTTCTTACACTAGCTTTTCTGTTTTCTCTTCTCCTCTACCTACTGCCATTGCACATTTTAGGTACTCTCAAATGATATCCTTGACAAAGGATTAGGTCTCAGTTTCTTCTTCATAATTCTGGCACTGAGTTTGACGGACACCTGCTACCACAGCTCTGTCATTTCTCCTATTTAGTTCCTCACTGCACAGTTTCATGGCTTTTTATTATTTTACCCAGCTGTCAGAATACAGACTATAAACTAAAAATATGTTTCCATTTCACTTAACATACCTTACCATGCATTTCATAAGTGTAATCAATCCTTTCCTAAATCACTGATCTGGCTGATATAATTAATTACCTTTATCAGTATATTAGTTCCTCATTTCATTCTTCTGGCTCAGGGAATAACCTGAAGAAATACACGAGAATATTAGACATATGCATACTGTTGGTTTAATTAAGATACTACAGTTCAAGAACACAGAAGTAAAAGAACTCTTTGTATTGCTTGGAATGTCAACATGAATTACCAGCTATATTCCTTTTGTATTACTAGCACAAATATTGTTCACATATAGCCCACAAATAGATAGATTTTAAAACACTCTGAAAAAGAGTTCCAAAGTCAATTATTTCTTAATATTATTTTTTATTTTTAAAGAAACAGAAGTACGATTCACATGTATAGTCTTGGAGGTATTCTCTGATGGATTGTCCCTTTCCAGGGATTTATTCAAAATTACAGATAAACCAACAAATTTTGACAATTTCCACTTTTAACCAAAAGCAGTACTAATTATGTATCATATACCTCCAGGCATTGGTATTTATTGGGTTTTCCCTTAAAAACAAGAAAAGGCAGCTAAATAAGCACTGCAAGGTAACAAATGTAGCTAATTTCTGATCACAGACCTTACTGATGATGTCTTTCTAGCAATACTTTTCTACCATCATGAAGATGACTATCGCTTCAGATCCTCTGCTAATCACAATGAATAATGGGAATAAATCCATCAGGATTAAAGACGTAAATGCTCCCGAACCAGCCTAAGACAAGCCAACACATCTGTATACATCTATACCTGTCATGTACCTTGCCGAGTCCACAGGATGGAGCACCCGTTTCTGGGAAAGCACCACTTTCTGGGCAGCTTTGAAGTGTTGCTCATTCACAACCAATGCCCCAAGAACATTTTGAAACACAGCCCCACGGCATAGCTCCAGCACACACCCAGGCTTAGGCTTAGAACTCATACTACACCAAGCTCAAATTGTCCTTCCTCTATCACAGCATTTCCTTCTACTCTGACATCCTTGTGTATCAGCTTTCTCAAAGCAAAGCAGTTCTGGGTCAGCTCAAAGTTCAGTGTCAAGGAAGAGAAGAACGAGCGAATGGGTACGGGTGGGTGCCTCCATACACGTGTGTGAGCAGTACGTCACTGCTGGGCTGGAGCAGCACCCCACAGACCACCTGAAACAAATGAAATTACACAGTGCACTTCGACTCAGGTAGTATCAGTTCCACCAGGAATGAGAATAATAATAGAAATCTATAATTTCTTTAGAAGCCTCGTGATACTCTGAGTAGTTTTTTTCATAAAAGGAGCAATTCTCCTGTGAACAGAATGATGAAGGTTAACCGACCTCAAGGAAAGGTTAAGCTCGAAAGAAATCACAACACTCAAGGAAAAGATACCTTAAAAACCAATAACTTCTCCCTGGAAGACTCTACTGTATTGTCTTCCTATTTGTTAACTAATATGAACATTTTATAGCAAAAGCTACACAAATAACATACACCTTGTGAGTAGTTTCAAATTACAAACAGTGCATAGCAAACTAGTCTGCACTCATCAGTCTGTTTATAAACATAATCCTGACTCAATACCATGACCAAACAAACAGGACAGTTTCAAGTGTACGACATAACCCCAGACAGATAGCTACAATACAGAAAAAGGCATTAAATATCTAAATCTATGCTGCAGATGTTGGTAAAATTCACTAATAACCAGAAATTTAAAATCTTGTACAGCTATCACCTTCAGTGAAGAGAAAGAAAGTCAGAAACTTTCTTCAATAACAAAATATTTTAGATGGTAATTTCCTCAATGCAGTGACCTTCTTGTTCTCTATTAGAACACTATATAAAAAATTGTTAATTTTTTGTTGTTTTGTTAATAAATACAATGGAGTATAATGGATATTCAAATTTACATTTATACTTTTCCTTACAGACGTCTGTCATTTTCTTTCTTTATTTCTGACTTTTGTATTTTCCATTTGTATTTTAAATCTGAAGGGAAGTTGTTCTGGAATCCAGTGTTTGACAGTAAATATAGACTTTTTCTCCCAATATCCTCTGAGAGTGGAAAGATGCAGGATCATACAACCACAAACTTATAAAGTAACTCTGTTAAATGATGTACTACAGCAATAAATGCTTCATATTAGGATCTACAAAAATAATAACCCTCTCTGATATAGTGCTGGACTCAAATTCATCTGCTACAATTTTGTGGTCTTAATGCAATTAAAGTTACCAACTGTGCAAACATATCCTTAGCAATAATCCACAAAATTTGCAACTGTAAACAACAGAAAAATTTCATGGCTGGAGTTAAAAGTCTAAACAATTTTTCTCCACAGAAGAGAGTATTCCATTAAAGAGTTTATCTGTGGTCATAAAATGTTCTCTTGCTATTATTTCAAATAGTAGCTTGATGCTTATTAAGATAATATTTTCTTTCTTTAGAATGTCTCCTATCTCCCTGATCATTTTACTGGGAGTTTTTTGAGGTGTTGGAAGGTGGTATTCAAATCCACTACATTTTTTGTGAGAAAGATTTTTGAAACTTTTTCTGTTCAGTAACATCTCTGCTTCCAGAATACAGCGTCAGCCAATCCCAGTTATTCAGGAAACATGATAGAGCAGTCTCAAGCAGATGGAAACACATGAAAACAGAAAAGACTACAGACAAAATTATTTTTCCTGTTCTTAAGCAGGAATAGGAAAATGCTCAGGAAGCATAATTCTGGTCAGATTACCAAACTGTGTGAGAATACACCCACCAACCCCTTTCCCTTTGGCTGTATGTATTACAGACCAGGGTGGGAAAGTAGTTTAAAAATTTAGGTTTTCAGCATTTTCCAGATACTGAAGGCATTATACAAAAATAACCTTATTTCAAGACATTTCTTTCACTTTGAAATTTTAAAAACTTGTGCAGCCTTTTGTCTGTGTGAGCAATTTCATCAGCAGGGACACAGACATATTTAGACCATTCACCATCCATGCCTAAATGCTGACTGATGCTCATAAGCACCTACTGAAAGGAAGGACACAAACGACTGCTTCTCCCTCATCCTTCCCTGTCCTGAGTCTCATTCTCAATGCCAGGGCCCAATACCCCAAGCTGCTCCCCAGGGTGAAAAATCTCAGGTTTTTTTTAGAAAACAGGATTTACCTCAGGGTAAATCCACAGGAGGGTGGATGGGAAAGCAGACTTGTCCCATTTAATCCTACTGCAACAAGGGGTGAGGAGGGAGAGCAGGGAATACAAGCTCTGCAGCAAAGTCAGAAACAAGCATGGCTTGCCAGGCTGCAAAGAACCCTGTGTCCCTTCCGTGAACAGCCTCCCTTCCATGGTTAGGGTCAGAGGGAGATTAAGCTGGCCACTTAGGAGTATCTCCACTGCAGTCACTTGTATCTGCTGGAAGGGGACCAGATTTGCAGCACAAGCAGAGCTGTTCCCGAGAATCACTGTGGGTATCAGCTGGCTCCAGCACAGGTCGCTGCCTGTGAGACAATCTGATCCCAAATGCTTTGACACTGAATAATTAGTGTGTCTGTAGGAGCAAATTTTTTCTTTCTGTATGCACATGAAACGGATGACAGTAAAACAGAAAAGCAGAAGTGCAGCTTTTTGCACAGTCCCCAGAGAAAGAAAACACATATTCTCAGCAGGTGCTAAAATGTGTTTGCTCACAAGACTCTTCATAAAAATATCCTACTAAATGTACTTTTTCACATCTTTACCTGCAGTGCATGCCTACATGTATGACCTGTTCCCTCTAGTGAGCCTAATGACAAACCTAAATCCTATTCAATAAAATTTAGAGTTACATTTTCATATGCATCTCCTACTACTAGTACTGTAAGACCAGCTTTGAGTATGCCATTTGGTATCCAAAATGATAAAGGATTAAAGTTTTAAGACTTCTAAGGCAGTTGATAAGAGTCTTCCAAAATCAACACTGTGGCATTGAGCTATTTGACCCACAGTGAGAAGACCAAAACTTCTGAAAATCAGTATCATGTAAAAATACTTGGGACAAAAATGAATCCTCTTCTCATCTCCTAAGACACAACTACAGGCCACATGTAACTTTCCCTGTACAAGAAGTGTTTCCTAGTTTAAAATGGCATATAAGCATCCTGGGAAAGGAAAAAAATCCATTTAAATAGATTAGTTGGAAAGAAAAAAAGATGTATCATATTAAATAAAAAGCAGAACTGCTTCACCTGTTTGTAGCAATCTTTAAGTAGCAAATATAGAGAATATCATGAGAAGTCATGTTCCATAAACTCATGCTTTCCAAATACCAGCTATGGGACGCTGAATAGTAAGTTACGTAGGCAGTGTGTCGACCAAAATAGAAATTGAGGGGGCAAAAAACTATGTCTAAATTGACATAGTTTTAAACAATAGAGTTTGAGTGCATTTCTGGCCTGGTATAAAGTACCACAAATTTGCATTCAGATCCATATGATCAAGCACATTAACCTCACAGCAGCATGTGATTGTCTACTGCTAATTTTCTGTTTCCCCTCCACTCTTCACTGCCACAGCCCATTGCTGGCACATCTTCCTACAGATACGCTGAAAGCAGAAGAAATCAAATACATTCAAAATACTGTCAAACAGCACATTCTGTTAGGAAAAAAAATTTAATTTGCACCATGACTACATATTCCAGTTCAGATTCACATGGTTTGTACTTGGGCTGGCTATCAATGCAGATGTAGATGATACCAGTTTGGGCTATTTTCACTCCACAGCCGTGAAAAAGAGAACTGTGGCAATCATTTCCTAACTTTCATGTGAACGCAGACTGATCAAGCCAAATTCCTGTTCCTGACAGGTTATATTTACATTCACATTACAGTGCTTCTATGGCTGGAGTTCTCTCTTCAGTGCCAATCCAGTAGCTCAGAGCTCAAGCAGTAGATGCATCTTTTAAATAGTCCTTCATGTTTGAATACATACTGTCTTTGAAGCAATTATCAATCTGAGATTAAAGACAGCCTGTAGATACAGGCAGGGAGAAGTACTTCTGAGCTAGGTGAAACACTATGGCCTCAAGACAGTAAAAGCAGACAGATATTTTGAAGTGAATTATCAATCATTTTATGTATTGCTCAGGAGAGCTTATAGTGCTGCTCTATTGCCAGGATTTCCTAAAGGAAAAGCCAAGTAAAAGCTCACAAATCTGTCTTTTAAAGAGCAAATTGTGCAATATCCTGTGATTCTCCACATTCCCCATAAGTAGGGAAGTCAAAATCAAAGAACACACTTGGCAAGGGAAGGTTGTACATTAAATTCTCTCCATTAATTCTTTTCTATAAAGAACAGTAGCATCCTTCACTCCTGAGTACTTCTAAGAAAAAAAAATTGGCCCAATCACCTCTAATAATGTTGGAGAGAAAACTTCGTTAATAGAGAAAGGGTTAAGAAATGGGTTTCCTAACATGACTGAGAGAAAAAGTCTGATATGGTCATGTCATGAATAAAAATGAAACCTGGTAATCAAGCTGATTGCTTACTTCACTTAACATTTCTTGGCAGTTTTATATACATTGAAGGCATTAGACTGAATCTATGAGCACTAATGTAATCTGTAGCTTCCTCTTGAATAGTCATGCATAGGTTGAGATCCTTTGATGCAGCACTGTCTCATTGAAACATCAAAGATAAACATTAAAGAGATTTGCTGTAAATCATTTTAATCTACTTGAAGTTCTTTTTATTCAGCTTCTCTTTGCTAAATGTTTATGCTATATGATAGAGTTTAAAATTGTCTTTTAATTTTGACTGTGTGAAACCTAGAGGTTCAGAAATGGCATCTGAGAGCCAAGGCTGTACCTGTATCCCAGCTTGGATTTTTCACACTCTTTCCTGCAGCTTGATTGCCCATCTCTCCTGCATGCCAGAGCTCCGGCCAGGGAAGAAACACATTCCTAGGGTTTCTTGCCATGCAGAGGAGGTTAAGGGTAGATGCTGCTGCACCACTGAGCCTCCCCCCACCTGCAGTCAAGATGTGGCTTCAGGCGACAACCCAGATCAGGAACTCAAACAGGCCCCTGGGCTCCCTAGACTAATTAGTTCCCTAGACTAATACGCCACACAGTCATAGTCTGTAACTTGCATTAAGACAATGGCAAATATGGTCTCCATAAAAATGTGTTCACATCAAAACTTATGAATCTTAAATTAAGATATGCATAGCTGATATATTATATTGAAATTAAGTAGCTTCAGCAGGAACCCCTGACAAACCCAAAATCATCATACAAACCATGCACTAGAAGGTATTAAACTAGAGAGCATTGATTTCAGTGGAAATAAGAAAAGGTAGTTATCAAAGGAGTCAGAGAAAAACCTTCAGGCTAGAAAATACATCTGTCTTGTCAGTGATAGCAGCCAAGCCCTGGATTTTTGTTTAATTATTTCTCTACAATTAGCTCTGTATGAGGATGCTTGTTCTGATCTAGGGACATCACTTAACAAGAACTAAAATGCTTTAGGCAAGTCATCTGATCCTTTGTTTCTATGCTACAGGAGTTTTTTATCAACTCAGAAATTCAAATTCAAATAAAAAATTATCCTAACAATAGGATATACAGAACTGGTGCCCTGAAACAGGACATAACTGGCAATTCACAGCAAATTTTGACCAAATGAAGGTAGGATTCTCTCAGTCTTTGTGACCAAGTTTGTTTCAGCAAGTCTGGTTTTGACCATGCCTCAGTGGCCTCACAGCTCTGAAACAGAAACAAGAACATGCCACCAAAATGAGGCAGCATGTGGAAGGAAAGAGCTGGTGGGAAATAAACAGCAGAAAATAGCAGAGGGGATAAAAAGCAGGTTCTGTTCCTGAACTTCTTTATCAACATTCTTTATCAAATGATGAGGAAGTTGCTTTTAAAAATCTATTTATGAGCTTAAATGAAGAATTATGCAGTCAGACTGGGAGAGGATGAGAGAGACCAACCCAGACTGAGCCACAGCACTTACAGGGAAGAAAAAAATATGTTGCAAGAGACAGTGGCATTTAGAAAATCTATTCAAGCATGTACAATGCCTTTTTCAAAATTAGAATGGCATTTGAGCATCAAAAATTTAAAATATAAATGCATGTATATTCTGTAAGCCATCCTGCCAAGGGACCTTACTGGCAAATCCTACCTGAGTTAGGTAATAGTGCCTAACTATTCAGGAATTCATTCTCTATCCTTTGCAGCCATATAAAGGAAAATAAAGTTAGTGCCTATCTACATAATAACGGAAGTGGCAGTCTGTGTGGATGCGGGTTCTTAAAACATTAGATAAAAAAATACAATCTAGGTAAAAGGCTTCAATGATGATGCTCCAGAGAACCAGTATTGTGGGAACACCTCTGCAAAATGCTTCATCCAAGATTTCAAGGTACATTCTTCTGGGACACCATTATGCCCCACACCCCAGGGCTCTATCCCTCAGCTGGCCCAGGCTTCCAGGCCATGTCTCCAATCCCCACTGGCCCCAGATGTGCCAGGGAGCAGAGAGGTGACACAGGCATCTCTCAAAACAAATCCCCATCTATCTAAAACAGCCCTTGTGGCTGGGGAGGAGAGTTTCCTGTTAACCATCACTATATCCAAGATGCCACCCACATGGTAAAAAAATCCCAGTTCCTCTTTGGCCTTATCCAAGTGAGGATATTATGTAAAAGAGGGAGAGTTGCTGGGGTTACAGCTACAGAAATAGCATGACATTATGTTTGCCTCAAACCTACCACCGCCTCCAGGCTCCCCCAGAGCTCCTGAAGAGGAAGGCAGGGTGTTTCCTGCAGTGGGGATCAGTCAGGCCCTGCTCCCACCTCCAGCCTGGACCCCCAGGGACACCATTTTGGGTGATAAGCAAGGCTGGAGGGATGGATAAACTCCTGCTCCTTGTCCTGTCCCTGGTGCAGATCTGCATGGCCACCCTGCCAGCTGGACACTGTGGTGTGTCCCTGTCCAAATGGGCTGTACAAGTCCACTTGAGCACAGACAGGGTCAGTCCAACATGGGCCAGGAGTTCAGACTCTGCAAACACCTGCTGGGCAAAAAGAAGAGGCCTAAGGCTGTTTGGAGGGGCTTGGCCATGCCCTTCCTTATTTAAGGTTTTTCTCTAGCGGTTTTCCTGCGTTGTTGCACCCAAACCAGCCTTCTCAGCACTGGGGCAGATGGCCAGGTAGGCTGACTTGGAGGCAGACCAGAAAGAGCTAAGCAGGTGCCACAAAATCTCATGAACAAGTCTTGTGCAATGAAGACTTTTTTAGGAGTAACTTCTTGGCAGCAGTACCTGTCTAAGAAGTCACACACCCTATTCCGCTCACCCTGTGCTGCACCCTCACAAACATTTGTGCACCAAATCAAACCAAAGAACTGATGCAGTTCAAAAACCCTATTTTTGTGACTTCTTGCTGTATTGTTTGTAGTGGACTCCTTCCCCAGTCCATGTCACTTCACAGCTACACAAACACAGGGGCCAGCAGATGACCAGGATGAGAAATCCTGTGTGAGTCAAAGTGTCACCAAGCCCTAAGCGCACAGGACTTGGGGACTGCCCCAAGCATGACACATCAGCAGCCGTCCCTGCCCAGGACCAGGGAGGTGACAGCACTGCAAGGGCAGGCAAGAAAACATCTGCACTACGCACTGCAGAGTTTTAAACCCGTAGCTTTGGTTCAGTCAGGAAGAAACAAGGTGAAACAGTATTGCAGAAGGCAGATTCCAAAGATCCCAAAAGAAAACAGCCCAGGATTTCTGCGACAGCCAGGCAAGAGGCAGTTGTTGTGTAAGGGAAACCACTGCAGGAGCCTCCTGAGCAAATCTCTTATTCTGGTATGTGTTCAGATAAGTGGGGAGATTATATAAGCAAAAGTGAAAGTGACACAACAATGTATTAATATCTACTTCTTCAGATTATCAGTGTAAATTTTAACTAATTCAAAATTAATTTAATTTTCAAAATAACTTCCTTTTTTTTTTTTTAGGGAGTAAGATTGCAAAGTTGACCAGTCCACAACAAATGCAATGCAATGTGGAATTCCAGTTTTGTGTATTACACGACATTCAACATTATATTATACCTTAAAGCCCACAAACTTTATAAGATATCCCAAAAAATCAGTTTGTACACTATCAGCCCAGCCTAGAAAATACAGTATTCAAACATCAAGTGATTCCTATGCTGAAATCTCAGAGACCAAAAACACCAGCCTGCCAAGATCACAATGATACTGCTATCAAAGACAAAAAATCTCGTGGCAGGCTATTTCCCCAGAGTCACCTGCACTAACCAGGAAAGTCTGTTTTGCTCCTTCAGTTTCACAAGAAAAAACTTTAGTCAGTACAATCTGGGGAGAAGAATTCCATATGAAAACCAAGCCAAGTGGCAATGAGAATCTCACCAAGAAGCACCTTTGTGTGTCTCCAAAACATATTGTACTTATCAAAATGTACTAATTAATATGATGCAGATATACACTTTTCTAAAAAATAACTACTAGGTCTCTTCCCTAGAACAGCTTTAGGTTATAAGGTTTAGCTTTAAGTTATAAGCTGCAGAGAGGCCAAAGGTACAAAAGGGGAGCAACAAGACCCATCCTCCAAAGGTGCAGAATTCAAACAAATCAGCCCTTTCAGGATAAAGGCTGGATGTGAACAACTACATTGCCCCTCAGAAGCAACTGACTGCCTCTAAAGTTCATCTTTATAGAGGAAAATATGGTTGAGCTCAAGACTGAGCAACAAGTCCCAGGCTCAGAGATATCAGAGCCATAAAAGACAGCTGTCTGCCTCTTGAGCGGCAACATTTTTGCTGCGTCTCTGGAAGGATCAGGGTTTTCTCCTGCCTTAGTTTAAAAATAGGGTAAGAAACCTTTTTCTCTTTACAGTTACATTCAAAAGAATGGGGATACGATGATGGTTTCCTTTCGCTATTACTAGGGAACCTCGGAAAAGTTCCCACGCAGCATGTTCCCAACTGGCACAAATTCACCAGGAGTGTAGAGGAGCGGGGAGGAGAAGGGGAACCAGGCGCCTGCCTCTCTCCCCGCAGCAGGCCAGGTCACCTGGGCTGGGCAGGGTCACCGGCCCGGCCCGCTGG